TAGAGTATCATGTCATCTGCAAATAATGGTAACTTAACTTCTTCTTTTCCTATCTTTACGCCTTTTATTTCTCTCTCTTGTCTAATTTCTCTGGCTACTATTTCCAGTACTATATTAAAATTAAATATTTTATTTTAAATATTAAATGGGCTTGACTTGCTCTTCTTTTTCTAGATGTTTGAGGTGTAACATCAGGTTATATATTTGTATGCGTTCTGTTTTCCTGATGTGGGAACTCAGTGCAAGAAATTTTCCTCTGAGGACAGATTTCATTGCATCCCACAGAATCTGGTAAGTTGTATTTGTATTTTCATTTGTTTGTAGATATTGTTTAATTTCTTCTTTAATTTCCTCTGTGACCCACTGATTACTCAAGAGTGTGTTATTCGGTTTCCATGTGTTTGTAGGATTTTTGCAGTATCTTTTATCATTAATTTCTAATTTCATAGTGCTATGATTCGAGAGCATGCAAGGGATTATTTCAACCCTTTTGCATTTATTTAAATATGTTCTGTTAGTTAATATATGGTCTATTTTAGAGAATGACCCATGTACTGCTGAGAAGAATGTGTATTCTTTTGTTGTTGGGTGGAATACTCTGTGTATGTCTATCAAGTCCATTTGTTCACAGGTGTGATTCAGTTCTTTTATTTCCTTGCTGGTTTTCTGTCTGGTTGATCTGTCCATTGGTGTTAATGGTGTGTTAAAATCTCCTGTTATAATTGTGCTGCTGCTAATTTGGTTTTTCATTTCTGTTAATATTTGTTTTATATAACTGGGTGCTCTGGAATTTCGTGCATATGTATTTAAGATAGTTATCTTTTCCTCTTGAAGTTTTCCCCTAAGCAGTATGTAGTGACCTTCTTTAACCCATCTGATCATTATTGATTTGAAGTTCACATGGTCTGCAAACAGAATAACTACTCCCATTTGGGGGGGGGGGTTCCTGTTGCATGAAGTATTGTTTTCCATCCTTTGACTTTTAGTCTGTGAGTATCCTTTTGGGTTCGATGGGTTTCTTATAGACAGCATATGATTGGATTTTGTTTCTTGATCCATTCTGCCAGTCTGTTTCTTTAATTGGTGCATTGAGACAATTTACATTAATGGTTATAATTGTTATATATTGGTTTATTGTTGACATGTTATCTTTCTCCTGTTGCATCTTTATCTTTCTGTTCTGTTTAATTGTCTGCTTTGTTTAGTAGTTTTTTATTAAATGTATCTAGGTTGTCTTTCAGTATTCTTTGCAGGGTTGGCTTGGTGATCATGAAGTTCTTTAGCTGTTCTTTGTCATGGAACTATCTTATTTCTCCATTATTTTGAAGGACAGTCTTGCAGAGTACATCAGTCTAAGTTGGAAATCATTTACCTTTAGGATCTGAAATACTTCACTCCATGCTCTTCTTGCCTTTATTGTTTGTGCTGAGAAGTCTGCTGTGATTCTGACAGGTTTTCCTTTATAGGTGATCTTCTTTTCTCTCTGTCAGCTTTTAATATTCTACTCTTATGTTGTATTTCTGGGATGGCGATTATTATATGTCTGGGTGTAGTTTTATTTTGGTTATGGCTATTTGGAGTTCTATATGCCTCATTGATCTTGATATCAGTTTCTAATCTCATGTTTGGGAAATTTTGAGCTATTACTTCTCAAAATATCCTCTTGACATCATTTATGTTGTCCCCTTCTTTTTCATTTATCCCTATCAACCTTATGCTGTTTCTCTTTGTGTCAACTTGCAGATGTTGAATTGTCATTTCCTGATTTCTTGTTATTTTTAAAAGATCTTTCCTTTCTTGTTCACTGGCTGCAATCTTGTCTTTGAGGTCTGAAATTCTATCTTCACTTTCATTGAGGCGGTTTTTACAACTTTCAATGGAATTTTTGATTTCCTGCATATCTCTTTGTATCTGCTTTATATATTGTTTGTTTCTTATATTGTTTATCAAGAGATTCTATCTTTTTGTTTAGTTCCTCCAATTTTTTAACTGTGCCTTCTTTAGATATGTTCAGCATCTCCTTCATTTCTTTTATTATTTCTTCTTTTACCTGAGAGATTATTTCTAGTTTGAATTCCTTTAAGGCTTCCCAGAGTTGCTTCTTTATTTTGGTTACTATTATTTCAGGTATTTCAGGTATGTGGCATGTATTTTCTTCTATGTATATGGTTCCTAAGCTTTCTTGGGATGGGCTGGATGTTTGAGATTGCATTTTGGTCTTTCTTTTTGTCATTTTCCTATATTTTCGAGCTTCAAGTGTTGTTCCAAGCTTCCCCTGGGTGTGTGGGAATTTGTCTCTTATGTCCTGGACTCCAGGCGTGGCCCTCAGATGAAAGAGAGAGGTCCGCCAGGCTGGAAACAGGATCCTTTGGCTAGGTCCACCTCACTGTTCCCGGTAGGAAGCTGTGGCACAGCCCCCAGAGGAGAGAGAGGTCCGCAAGGCTGGAAACAGGGTCCTGCAGCTAGGCCGATTTCAATGATTTCTGGCTTACTTATGTTGCTGTATAGAGTGGAAAGCCATTGTGGGTTCTTGATCATTCGAATGTCACCAGCTTAAGCTCTATGGCAGCGTTTAAGACAGTTTGTTCTTTCCTTGCCAAAGCAACCAGTATTCTGATTCCTATAATCAAAGATTAATTTTTTTACTCTTAAAGTTCTTATAAATGAGCTCATATAATATCTATCCTTTGAATCTCAGTTCCTAAACAATACTTTTAAAGTTCATCTTGTTTAATCTCTATCAACAGTTAATTTCTTTTTATTAATAGTATCAAAAGCACACAACTTATTTATTTGTTCACTGATGGATGGAAACTTGAGTTCTTTCTAACTTTGTAACATGAAATTATATTTGAACACTTGAACACTTTTCATACAAGTCATTTTGTTCAATCACTGGAACCAATCACTCAACAAAGAGAAATCGCAAAGTAAGTATCAACAAAATATGCAAGAATAACATCCCCTTATTTCTCTAGAAACATACAGTTTACCCCCAAATGTGATTTACCTGAATTCTTTTACTTCCCACGCTTGGTTCATTGATTAATATTCTCTAGGATTGTTGGCAAAGTATTGATTATTAAGCCCCACCCAAAACAAAATAAATTGAAATTTCTAAGAGAGGGTGATTTAATTTACTAGGTGTGGAGCCCCTGAGATTTAGTGCACATACCAGGCTATTCCAGTATTTCAAATCTGAGAATCACTGTATGCAATAAATATGTTTCAATACTTATGTCATTACATAATGATGGTTGGGTGGTCACAGGTATTCCACCCTGAGTGTGTCGTCGACTGACATCCCACAAGATAAGGATGGTCCTAATGATGGAAGTGAAATGGCTGTGACTTGCTAGACTGTGTTGCTCAAGACAAACACTTTCTCACATAGTGTTTATAATATTCAACAGTCAGAAATTTAAAGCACAAAAATCAGAAGTGTGATTATTTCCAATTCTACTACTAAATGTTAGTGTCACCCTCAGAAAATCTTGTTCATTCAATGTACCTGTTCCTTCTCATATAAAACAAAAAGGCTGAGAAATCTGATGCCATTAATTAAAATTATTCAAATCCTGAAAAGAAAGCTAAAGATCATCCTAGAGTATCATATACCTGACAGTTTCCTAAGGGTAATCCACTGTCTGTAAGAACCACTCTGCTGCAGTCGTGAGCCAAGAGGGAGAAAAAACAGGAAGGCAATTTGCCCTTCCTCTGAGCCAGTGATAACTGTGCACCAAGAGAAGAAGTAACCCTCCTGTGAGCCAGTGGCAGCCATGGGCCAGGAGGCTAGAGAAACAGGAAGCCAATTTGCCCTTCATGTGAGCTGGGAGACAAGAAGAGCTGCACACCCCACACACCCACTCTGTAAGCAAACAGCCAATTCTGAGGAACACAGACTGAGTTGATAGCAACTGAGGCACAAAAACAAACTCAATGCTTGAATTGTTTGATTGAGTTTTCAGGCCAAAAACCAATAGTGTGAGCATCAAATAGATGCAAATCATTATACAATATACAATATAGCAAATATTATACAATATGCAATATAGCAAATATGGAGGATTTTCTTCTGTCTTGTTCTTGAAATCCAATATTGTTCTGTTTTGCTCCATTTTATGTTTTTGCTTTATTCAATGTTTTGTTTTGATTCTGTTCTGTTCTGTTTTGTCTGATTTTATTATGTCTGATGGTATGGGCAGCGATTTTGAAGGTAACAACAGGCCTTATTATAGCAATTGTTGATTTCCTAGTATCCTGTTTTGAAGTCCTGTATCATTTTCACTGTTTTATTTTAATTGGCTTTATTCTGTTTTATTTTGTTTTGCTTTATACCCCTTAAAATAAAATACAAAATAAAAAAGAACCACTTTGCTCAACTCAGAACTTATTAATTTTCAGAAAAGAGACAAAGAACAACATAACTTTTGTTCAATGGAGATATAAATAACATCTATTTGGTAGAAAAAATAATGCCTACAATTGGTAATATGTGAAATGAAAACAAAACCTCATACCTAGAAATATATGGAGGAAAACATGAGAGAAAAAAAGCCAAAACAGAGAAGCCACTTCATGGAAAGAAATAGGACGAGGACAGGAAAGACTGCTTTTGAACATACGCATGCACTGTTTTGTCAAGAACAATACTACTTCTTTTAAAAGTCTAAGCAACAAAACTTGATATTTTATTGCCATATAGTCTTAATTATAATCATTGTTCTTTGATCTCTGAGGGTGAGGTGGGAAAAGCAGTCTGTACAGCACCATACCCAGTCATTTGAGGGTTAACAGGCAATGTCTTAAAGTCAGGCTTCCAGAAGCACACATTCCACTTATAGGAGATTTAGTCATTCTAAAACTGGTAGTTCCTCTCAGAATCAAGTTCCTACCCTCGTACAACCAGCCCCCTGTGGTATCCACCTTCTAAAGGTCCAAAGAAACCATGTTTGCAATGAACGTCAGCCTGGATTCCACATGACACAAACGCAAGAATATTTGGTATAATGAGTTTATAAGATTCATATATGCACAAAACAAATGACCTGAAAATTAGGGTGTCACTATTCACATGGCCTCCCACGGCTTCATTCACCATAGCACAGTGCAGCATTTCTCATGCATAGTACCCGGTGGGCTAGAGAGGAGAATCACACACCACCACATCCCTGTTCTGTTTTCACATTCTGGCTTTTCATGGGCACAAACCCCTTGCTTCTTCATCCAGAACATGAAATGGTGATAGCAGTTGCTGTCTTCTCTCAGCCCTGGTGCAGAAATAGCCCTGAGTTTATATTGATGAAAACACAGTTGGGACTTTGAATTTTAAGAATCAAACTACCATCTCCAGTCTGAATTCAAGCTTCCATATGTAAATTGAAGTTTGTGTTGTATGATTTTCCCAGGTCTGCAGTGAGGAAGATAGGATTGTCTTTCTTGGAAGAGGCGATGAACCAGTCAGGAAAGGCCACAGACTCAAAGGTGGAGGTTGTCCCTGTGTGGGAGTGGTAGAAAAGGAAGGGCTTCACAGGCTCAGGCTGGTTGTACAGATCCAAAATCCTCTGTTCCTGAAACGTGAGAAAGAATACTCATGGGAGAAATGGAAGCTTTTCTAGATGTTCAAGTTATTTGCAGATATCCAATGGACAGTCCAAAGGTCAGGAAAAATTTATTCTTGTTAGCTGGATTAAAAAATGTATTTCAAAGGAGCAATAGAGCAAACAAATAATCTCGTCTTCCCAACCCCACTGTCCAATCCAAAGGATTTATCACAGAAGGGAGACAAGGGGCGGGATGTCATCAAAAGGATAAGAGGACAGGTTAATGACCAAAAAGCCATGTCTAGACAATGAGTTGGTTCACCTCTCACCCAGTGGACTGAAAGGATCCCTAAAGACTAAGATGTAAATTTCCATAAGCAAGCCAAGGACTTGCCTTACCAAAACAGGGACAGTGAGAGCCATCATGGTGTAAGGGAAACTACTCCAGCAAAGCACAGCTAGGTTGGGGGCTTGTGATTCTAAACAATTGCAGGACATATGAGAAACTTCTTGAAGTAGACATAAAAGTGTCTAGCAAAGCAAAAGATTTGCACCCAAAGGTGCAAAGTAAATAAAGCAATAAAAATTCCATATGTATATAATTATGTGTGTATGTATGATCATTTATGCATATATTTTATATTTAGGTAAAATAATTTTTCTAAGTAAATCGCATATGTATAAGTGATGCAGGAATGGTCTATATATTTTACCCCATTCCACCCTGAGTGAAAGATTCTTCTCCCATAGGATTCTGTTAAAATTACTATAAAATCCAAACTCTCTAACAAAGACTTCAGGGTCTATACCACCCAGCTCTTGCTTACCTCACACTCTTACTCTTAGTGATTCTGCTCCTGCCACATCTGTCTTCTGCTCCCCCTAAGACACCAACATGCTCCTGCCCAGGGTCCTGGTACTTGGTCTACCTCGACACACCAGTTCCAGCCTTGCCCGAGCTGGCTCTGCACTGTGACTCAGGGACTCATCTCAGACGTCTCTTCCTTGGAGAGACTCCACTGCACATCCTCACTAGACATTTCACATCCAGCCTCTCAGGTGTCACTGCATCAATCCTGGGTTATTTTCTGCATTATTTGGCAACACTATCTAAACTTAGCATACTTATCTCTCAACCACATAATTATTATCAGATTTTACCATCACTCTCTAAATGTAGTAGGTTTACACATAACTGTATTTCTCAGCATACAGAAGAGCCCCTGACAGTCTGCTCAAGAGAGATTTGCCGGCTGTTTAACAAATGCCTTCTCATTTCAAGCTCCCTACCTCTTCTGCCAGCTTTATTTCTACTCCCTCCTCATTGAGAAAGTGAACACATGAAAGGAAACTTCCACAAACCACCCTACACTGGTGCCTCTTTCCCTGAGGTGGACTGAGTGGTGGATCCCATGTACAGCCACTCACTTAAGGGCATTCCTTTAGCCATTCTTCCTGGCCTTTTATTTTTCATCAGTTTTGTTTCTCTTCTCAGTCATTCCCATCAGCATATTTGCTTTCATTTCAGTCCTTTTAAAAACATAGTCATGTGTCATTTAATGCCAGGGATATATTATGATAAAAGTATTGTTAGGCAATTTTATTACTATGTCAACATTGCAGAGTGCGGTGAAACAAATGTAGGTTGTGGTTATACACACTGAGGCAGCTAGGATGTCACTTGATGATAGACTCTTAGAAGACGATCCTACATATGGTTCATCAGGGCTAAAACTTTGTTATGTGGCACATTGCATGGTACCACTGCCAGTTCCCCACTGGGGCAAACTCTTCACAATTGCTGCCTGTATGTGCTGTCTGATTTCTTGCTAGTGATTACTCTCCTCAAACTCACTCCAGATGTTCAACCTCATGACTGTACTGACACTGTCCTCCTGTCCGCATCAATGTCCTCAATAACCCACATGTTGCCAAGTGCAATGGGCCAGTCTCAGTCCTGAGGACAAAAGCACAGCAAAAACTGACTTAACTGAGCACGTGGTTCTCAGTGCTCATCCTACTGATCACATTCACTCTGCCAACAAATCCTGTTGCCTGCGCTTAAAATATTTCCAAAATCAGACCTGCCTCTCTCTATCTCCACTGCAATCACCCGGCTCTTAGAGGCACACTAAAGCTCGCTCCTAAAGTAATTTTACACTTTCCCCCAGACCCTATGATCAACTAGAAGTCGTGAAATCTTTTTTAGACCAAAGTCTATTCCAAAGTTCAATTCATTTCACTGAGATCACAAGGCCAAGTCCTTACAAAATCAACATACCCTTCCTGGTCTGGTATTTTATCTCTGCATTCCTCCCTCCTCATTTGACTCACACACAACTGTCTTTCTTCACCATGGGTCTTGCACTCACTGGATGCCCTGAGGACTAATTTTCCTGCCTCCTTTGCTCTGTCATGATTTTACTATCACAGTAATGCTGACTGTGCTACTGTACTACAACCTGCTTCTGGTTCTGCAGTTTCTTTATCTTGTTCTATCTATTCCTTTCAAAGAGACATACCCCCTTTACACATCACAGATTTACCAACTAATGTGTTTAATATGTACATTGTCTTCTGTTTCCCTCCTCCCACCAGAATGTAAGCTCTATGAGGTTAGGGCTCTTTGATGTATATGCCAGGATGTATCTCAAGAGCATGCCTGGTGCTAGCGGCCAATTACCATGCACACATTTGATGAACCGAGTTGGACTGAGTTAAATTAAGTGATGTAAAGTTAGGTTAATGAATAGAACAAACATATGTATGTACACAAGTATATGCATATATTTATGCTTTATATATACATATGTGCTTAAACAAAATCAACCAGAGAGCTCAGGAAATTAAAAACTGACTTATAAAAAGATACTGTAGGACAATTTAAGAGACAAAATTGAAAATGTAATCATGAAGTAGCAGATTGAACGAAGAAATTCTTCTAGAATGCAATGCAAACAAAAATAAAACATGAAAGGGTAAAAAGTATTGCAAATTAGATGAGAAAGATACTCAAGTGAGATTTAAGATTCTCAGTGACTGACAAATAGGAATTCCACAAGGAAAGATGTGGCAGAATTATGGAGAGAACATACTTGAATAAACAATGACTGAAGACATCTCAAATTATAAGGAAGATGGTAAACTTTTAACTAGTGAAGGGAAGAATAAATTAAAGTCTCTTGGATGCGTATTATTCAAAAGGACCTAGGAATCAATATACTTAGGAAACTGATAGTATTTCTTTTTCAATTATAACACTAAATCTTCTACCAAATAAAATTTTGCATAGAAAAATTGGATTTGAAATTATTATTTTGCTTCATCACTGACCTTCAGCAGCAGTGTGGGTTGTCCTTCTATTTTCTCACAGCACAGACACATATCTGGATTTTGGATTTCCAGATAAATGGGAGTTCCTTTGCCTTTCTCAAGGGACTCTGGATACTTGCATGTCAGAATAGTGATGGTGACTATAGAAATAGAAGCAGAAGAGCTTGCCAATTTTCTGTGTGAGTCATGAAAGTGGAATAGTTCTTCTAGTTTTAACTGATTTTCCAAAGTAGGATCTTCCAGGTGGGACTGGAAGATGCAGAAGAGTACGATTCTTGCTCTCCCAGACCCACACCCATATCCATGCATGCACTCATCCATCTTTCCCTTATGGATAACTGCTCCTCTAGTAAATGGGCTAAAGAAAGTTTAGCAAGTGACAGGATCTGCCTTTGATATTCTCACACCTGTGCTTGAACATCTGGAATTGAGAAACTCCTACTCCCAGATGCATCTCTTTGTATTTGGAGAGCTCTACCCATTAGCAAGTTCTGTTGACTCTGATTGTGAAATATTCCTGTGTTACTCGCCCATTTTGTGTTTTTATGGTATCTTGAGGTCAAATAGAACAAGCTAATCCCCTACCACCAGCTAGATCAGCTGATTAAGATCAGAATGGTACCTCTCTAATTCTTAGGAGGCTCCTCTACACTATTTGATTATTTACTGAGACTAACCTCTCAGTGACTTCTCCTCCAAGCTAGCTGGGAAATTCTATCCCTTTCATATACATTCCATTTAAATCTAGGGTTTCGGACATACTGTAATTGTATACACTTATAGGCTGCAATGTGATGATTTGATATATTTGTATACAATATGATAATGATTGAATTAGGGTACTAAACACACCTATTGCCTCATACATTTATCTTTTTTTTGATGTCAGAATATTTAAAAACTGATCTTCTAGCTATCCTGGAATATAATTACTGTTAGCTTTACTCACTCAATGAAGTGCAATCAAGCATAAGTACTCAGGCTTTAATAAAAGGCCACCACCAGTGTGAGATGTGGAATACCCACAGCATGAGCCCTCACCTGATGCAACATTATTACTCCGTGGAACTGACACGAGGGACTGACCCTGAAGGATCCACACCTGCTGATCCAAATCAGAGACTTTCCCAAGAAGTGGAACATCTCTTGATGATACTGGAATGGAGACAAAAATGAAGAAACATGAAGGGCAAATTTGCTTCACTCAGGAGAAACATCATCTAATCTTGGCCTTTCAAAGTGGAAGACCAGAGGTTTATGCCCCAAAACTCATCAGCCCAGACTTTCTTTCCTGTAAAGCTATTGGCTCTGCTGAGGACGGCAAAGGCTACTAAGGTCTATAAATGGTGTGAGAGAACAAACCATCAAGACAGAGGATAACGAAACATGTGACCACAGCACACATGTGTCAAAGCCAAGCTATTCTCTTTTGGGCCTGCTCTTTAGTTGGAATGATTCTGGGAAATGGAGCTAGAACAGTGAATGGGCAATGGTTCCCACCCTCTGAAAGCCCATGGCCCAGTGGCAGGTGGACAGTACCAGGCACTAAGGGTACCTGCAGATGGAGGGACCGAAAATGCTAAGGTATTCAGAGGACACAGCTATGACTATAAGTGACTCAGGCCACCAGAGCCCTACCCCAACATTACCAGGACACATAATGTATTTAGGGTTTTTCGTAGTTGGTTTGTATCAGCACCTGAGGAAACAAAGACAGAAGAGATGAGCCTCAAGGGACATTTCTAAGGTCATCTTAGGACACTAGTACCTTAACTTCTTATTCTAGATAGGGATCTAACATGCCTGACCTGACACAAACCTTTACTCAGAAAATTCAAGCCACCATCCTGGATAAATTTTCACAGAAGTCTGAGGCATGCCAGAACAAGCAGAATTATCCTCTACCCAGAGATCTGGCGAATAAGGTTATCTCTCTCGGAGTTCCCATGCAAGGCATGATATTTGACCTTAAAAATTCCAGTTCCCTGGTGCCAATGTTTCCTCCTGCCAGAGGAACCTCTCCTTCATTCTGTTGCTTTCCAGAGAGAAGGAAATGTCCATGCCAGGGAAGTTCTTCCAAATCCCAGCCACTCCACCATGAGGTACAACAAGGCCCACAAGGAAAAAGCTCACAGTTATCCCAGCATGACCCCTACCCTTTTTTTCGTCCCCAGAGCACAGAAAGCTCCAGAGTCAGAGGGATCTGGCAGCTATGCACCTTACCTGGCAAGTAAGGGACTTTATTGAAAGTCCACAGGACCAAATCACAGCTCTATCAGCTTCTGAGGGCAATAATGGGCTCTGACAGAGCCTGGGTCATTTATCCAGATGAGCAGAGGGAGGTTGCAGTTTCTTGGGTGGGGCTTGACCCGTGTTCAAGGTGAAAGAAATCCACTTCCTCCTTCCAGGACATCTCAGGAGGTTCTGATGAAGAAATCTCAAATATGTATGGCTTGTCTAGGTTCCCTGAGCAGTAAGTGCTGAGCTAAGCCAATGAGATCAACCACAAGGAAAGAGAGGTGATGACAGATCACAGGTTTCTCAAAAAGGAGAGACTAAGGGACTTTCCCAGACCTGGGTAGTCCTGTCATTTTACTCTAGGCTTAAGAGTGGGAATACAAAGTGTTCACAGTACAGGAACTCGATCTCATGACAGAAGAAACCCAGCCCACTACAGGGAGACTAAGGGTTAGGAACCCGGAAGTCTCCTTGCTCAAGGTCTCCTACTTTCCATCCCCATCTCCTCTGGTCCTGGAGGAGTGTGGTCCTTTGCTGTTGAGGTCCTGGTCCCACCGCTTTTGGCTTCTGAATTACCTGTTCCCTAGGAGAAAGTGTGATAATGAATTCAAACACACTTCTGTTCAAAATCAGGCCTAGCCAGTGTCACCTCTCTTGAGTCCCCTTTACCTGGTTGAATAACCCCTCGATTATACCTCATCCCCTTTCTAGAGATGGTCAGCACAAAACAAAGGCCCATTATCCGGCTTCCAAATACCTTAAGGCTCTGTTTCAGTTATGATCCAGTCTGGGAAACTGAATCCACACTAGAAACTGCAAACAAAAGTGACTGGATATGAGGAACTGAGTATGCATCTCTAGGAGACAAAATAATGAAAGGGACTTGATGTAGATCCCAGATACTAACAACTATGGGAAGGCAATAAAAGGAGACAAAATAACCTAGTAGCTCAAATGAAGGATCTTGTAGGACTGATGCCTGGTATTCAAATAATTCTCAGACCTCTAAAAAGAGTATGCGGTCTGGTGGAAGCACAGACCGTGAAGATGGAGGGAAGGACTCAATGACAAGACGTGCAGAGGACACAAGAGATGAATCTTATAGGGTTGCAACTTTATTGATTTGAAATCATCTGGGAGTAGCATCAATTTTTTGTGCCCAAATTAAGAATTTTAAATCCCGTACGGTCTAGTGATATGTATTCTCCTTAACTTCGGCTTCTTATTCTATTTGATCTTGATCTTTTAATGAATTCCTATTGTTCAGAGTATCTAGTTTTCCCAGGTTTCCTAGCACTCAGCATGCATTCTGATATCTCCAGTTTAAACTTTAGTGTGAATGACTGTCAGAGGAATTAGAGGAACTAGGAGTATATGTCTATTTGTCTGTTTACCATGGCTATAACAAAATATTTGAGCATGTACATTTTATAATGGAAAAATATCTCACAGTTTTGGAGAATGACAGTTCAAGAAAAGCTGACCCCATCAACTTAGCCTCTGGTGAGGACTTCATGCTGGATAGCATTGCAGTGATGGAATCTGCCATGAGAGTACATCTCCCAGCAAGACAGGTACAAAGGAGTCAGAAGTGGCCAGTGTTGCTCTTTTATAACAAACCTCTCTCATGAGAAGTAACTGGCATCTCAGTGTCCTTCTGAGGACTGTGCCTCTAATAACCAAGTTGCCTCCCGTGAGGACCAGCTCTTAGGAAGTCCTATCATCTCCCAGCATCAGCAGCTGAGGAACGTTTCCACACATGAAGCCATAGAGACACACACTCAAACTATATCTAAACCACAGCAAGGAGAAAAGGTGATAAGAGATGAGAACTGAATCATTGCTGTTGGTGACCAAGGAGCAGAGAGCACATCTCCTGACAGAATGACACAGTTTTCATCTTAAATGAAAGAATGAATATGATGATTCCACAATACCTTCACTTTGATTATAGTCTAAAATATAAAGACATAGCTTTTCTATGTTAACCTAGCCAAGTTTCTAGATTATTTCTCTTGTATTTTATCATCATGTGAAACAATGATATACACCACTAGTGTGAGCTAAATTCTAAGAGTACTGATTCAGCCAAATTTCTTATATATGGATATGATTTCAAAAGAACTCTTTGTCCAGATACCAGTGTTGAAGCCCTGAGATACTGTCATGTGTATTTGTTTGATGAGCTAATGTACTCACTTAATGTGCTCATGATCTTAGGAAGTCTTACCATCATAACCAAGGGAGCATCAAACCTAATCAGGTACTTGACCATTCACCGTCATGAAAATCTCTAGAATTTGATCATAGATTACCAAATTATAATATATTTTTCACACCATTGTGCTGACGAGCTAATAAAACAAAGGGTCTTATGGAGCAATAAATATTGTATGGCCTTCATACATTTCAACAACACAGAATCAAGTTAGTATAAAACTAGACCTGGAATCTGTAACTCCCAAATCCAAAGCCAGGGCTGCCAGCTGGAATGCTCCCAATCCTTGGGGCTCCAAAGAGGACCAATGCTAGTGTGGCTAGATCCTACAAGAGATACCTGTAAGCAAAGCCAGCAGTCTGGTGTAAGATGACCCTGTAAGATGACCTGGCTATTGAGCCTGTTGAACTTACAGACAACCTGGTGGGTACCATGAATCACAGAGACCAACACAGGGCTATTTATAGTCTAGAAAACTTGAGGGAATGTTAAGAAAATTCCTAGGGCAGCGTCTATGACACAGGTCTTACCCAGTGTAGAGGCATGATGTACTTAGCCATGTTCAATGACGTCTGCTTCTCCAAGCAGCCCAAGCCAGGTCTTAGACCTATTTTCTGTGAACAGTTCAATCACTGAGAGTTGAAGTTGATCTCTGTGAAATCCAGAACTCTAGGATAAGAGCCAGCATGCTATTTAACATCTTCATCTTCTTCATTAGACAATGATGGGAAAATAAACAAAAATAACTCCAAAACTACTCAACAAAAATGACAGATTATAAATAGAATCATTAAGATAATTAAACAAAAGAATCAAGCCATACACAACCAGCACAAAGGTGTAATTCTCTAAATTTAAAGCACGTAAGTGTACAATTATGTGAGACAACAAGAACAACCATGCTAAAAGAATAAAAAAAATCTCAGCCCATAAAGCAGCATTCAAGAAAGAACCATAGGTTCATGTGCATACTTTGAAATTCCTGGACAAAAAGATAAACGACAGGACTCTTCACCTTTGCATAATAGCCCACATCACACAAAAGTAAAACCCATGAAACAGAAGATAAAATATAGAATGCCACCATTACTTCAGAATTACAAAGCTTGTGAAACACGCACCATGAAACACTAAAAAGACAAGCTGGAGAAAGTATTTGCAACACCTCTAATAAATAAATATTTAATATCTGACATTTTGGGGCAATTCTTACTACTCCATGGGAAAATGCAAACAATCCTATGGAAATGAGCACTAGAAATAAAAAGCCCTTTATTGGATAGAGAACATAAATGCTTAATAAATTTGAGGAAGTATAATAATCACAGTAGTGATTAGCATTATGCAAATCAAAGCAATAAATGAGATTCAGTTTCTTGCTGGAGGAAGACACAAATTTTAAAAGACAGCAGGCAGTGGTGTGAGAAAATAGACTCTCATCACATGGATGGACATGTGAATCAATCTGTGTGAGGAAGGAATTTTACAGGAGCTATTAAATTGACCCAGTAATTTTAATTATAAGAATGGGCTAGTTTCATTTTCAAGAGTAGGAAAAATCTTATTCAGAAGGACTAAAACAATTTTTTAAAATCTGATTACTTTTTTTTATTCATGTTTTAATTTTTTTTCTTCCATCAGAACTTATTGGTACATTTTAGACATACATAATGATCACATGTACCATAGAAAATTTGTATCTGTACATGACATAACTTAATTTTTTTCCCCTTTCCCTCACCTGTCCTTCAACCTATCTATTTAAGGATAAGCTTTCTTCTGTAACCGTATTTATTTAAAAGTAGGTTTTATGCACAAAATGGTAACGGGCAATTTCCAATAAAGTCTTTCAATAGCTGTCTATCTCTTCAAATTCTGGGCCACCGCCTTCAATGAGAAACTGGCCATATAAGTGGGAGTGAATAGGAGAGTGCTTACCACTTTTTTGTTGATTAACCAGTCTTTCTAACAACTTGTCTGGATGGCTTGGCATATTTAAATTTTACTATATGGATGCAATTACCCTATATCTACACGTTGGCATATTTCATGTTATTTTTCCATCATGGTAGCCACATCAGGAGTACACAGCCTCCCACCATGTTACTAGTTTCAAAGCGCTGACTCATCACTATGAAAACACTGACTCATCACTATTCCTTCCCAGGAGGTTTATTTGGTACTTCCTGCAGAATACATTTAATGCTTTAAACTTTCTTTTCAATAATTCTAAGCAGTATAATAGTAATATCTGGTGATTCATACATTCACGGTAGAATTCTGGTAGTTCCATGACATCTCTCATGATGGCTCTAGGTCATCAATGGAACTATCACAAAGTTATGTGCTTTTCTTCATTCTGGGCATCATCAGCCCCAAACATGATGCTGACAATTTCCATGCAGACTGGTAAATGTGCAATTCTGCTATTGTGCCTTTAACTATAATGATGGCACCCTGCAACCAGTATTTTGAGTGCAGCTACATAAAAGAAATAAGGTTTTTTCCTATCTAATCCCTGTTTTTCATTGGTACTGTGAGCCACACGTATATGGTACAATCTTTTATTCCTACTTTAAAAATTACACTGAAATATTAAGGCCTATAAAATGAAATAAATATCCATGACACTATGTTGATATAAATAATACAATTTTAAACTAGGAGAAAAAAATAACAGCTCTTCCTTACAAAAGAATTCCAATTAGTGAGTGAACAAGAATGTAGAAAACAGGAGTTTACCATTAAGTGAATCACAGTACTAATTACTGCAAGAAAGATTCACCAATAAATACTACAACTTTCATGTAAAAGGTTGCAGATATAGGAAGT